CTCATTTTTGATGGCTGCATGGACAAATCCATGTAGTTGTCTTGGCCAGAATATTTATTTAATTATTTATTTTATTAATCAGATTTATATGCCACCCATCTCACTGTATAAGTGACTCTAGGTAGCTTACAAGTAAAAGTGATAAAAACGATAAAAAAAAATCTTTACAAAAATATACAAAGCTAAAAGATGGAGGGAGCATCCTCAAGCCACCAACCACCCCCAGTACTGTGAACCCCCGTTGGGTTTCGATGCTAGTTGACCGAGACAGGTTTTGACGCTCTTCCGGAAGGCCAGAAGAGTGGGGGCCAATCTCCCCTCAGGGGGCAAGATGTTCCACAGGGCGGGGTGATGACAGAAAAGGCTCTCTTCCCAGATCCCACCAGTCAAAATTGTCTAGCCGATGGGGTCCTTAACATGCCCTTCCTGCCAGATCTGGTGGGATGGGTCGATGTAACCAGGATGAGATGGTTCCTCAGGTAAACTGGGCCCATGCCATGAAGGGCTTTAAAAGTCATAACCAACACCTTGCATTGGACCCGGAAGCAAACCGGCACCCAAAGCAGCTCACCCAATGCATTCTGCACCAGCTGCAGCTTCTGGATACTTTTCAAGGGTAGCCCCCACGTACAGCGCGTTGCATAGTCCATACCGGAGATGACCAAGGCATAAGTGACTAAGAGGAGGGCCTCCTGATCCAGGAAAGGGTGCAACTAGTGCACAACTCGAAGTTGAGCAAAGGCCCTCCTAGCCACACCTGCCACCTGCTCCTTGAGCAGGAGTCGTGAGTTCAGGAGGACCCCCGGATTATGCACTGGGTCCATCTGGGGCAGTGCAACCCCATCGAGGACCAAAGGTGGTAAGCCCCAAGATACAGAAAAGCCCCGAACCCATAGCCATTCTGTCTTACCAGGATTCAGTTGAAGCCTGTTGTTCCCCATCCAGACCCCCACAGCCTCCAGGCACCACGAAAGAACATCCACGCATCACTTAGTTCACCCAGGATGGAGATGTACAATTGAGTATTATCCGCATACTGATGATACTTCATCCAGGAGGGGGGACGGATGATCTCACCCAGCGGCTTCGTGTAGACGTTAAAAAGAGTGGAGAGAGCACCTAGCTCTGCGTCACCCTGTAAAGCAGGGGCCGCAGGCTGGACTTCTCGCCCCCTATCAACACCAATTGGGACCAGCCGCGGAGGAAGGAGGAAAACATGGAAGTGATTTGCTGCTGCCACCGCCTTCTGAAGCACTTCTTACAAATTCCGAGTCTAGCTCGCACACCAGGGATTTCCTGGTCATTTCTGTCCCAAGGACTAACCAGTTCAGCCCTGCTTGGCATTTTAAAGATCAGAATCAGTTTTAGGTGCATCCACTTGCTGGGATAAGGGGAAGAGTTTGAGCTAAAAAATCCAGAATTCATACTGGAGTAAATAGAAGGCGGGGGTGGAGGGAGAATGGAATTTTGCCATTGATTTGTTCCAAGTAGGTAATAGCTATAGCTATAATCTTAGGGAGTGTTTTAACAGTTTGGAAATGGGGTGGGTGGGCTTGCATATCAGGCAATGTATTTTTGCCTGGTGGCCAAAATCTTTCACAACTGGGCTGGAGAGCAAAGGGAAAAAAATCCTCCTTTGATCTGGCAGCAGCTTTTAGTATGTAGATCACTGTCAAAAGACCTGCTGTGTCTTATTTTGTTCCTTTAAAAAAACAACTGCACCCCCCCCAGCAAAAAAAAAACAACCCTTGATTTCCAGCTTGCAGAATCCTTGAATGTAGTTTTGCTAAGCGGGGAGGCAGTGCTGAGAACAGGCATGGCCCCTTCCCCCCTTCACCTAACAGGAAGTGGCAAGCTTAGCACCACAGTTCCCCGGCAGCATCTCAGGGTTTGTTGGCTTCCCAAAATTAAAGAAAAACTGCTTTGTCTTTTCTTTAATAGTCCAAAGGAGTCGGTCGCTTTGCAGGATGGAAAAGAAGTGACTCTAAAGGAAGGGATTTCTCTATCTCATATACTGTCGTTCTGCGGAGCAATTTGCGTCGACTCGATCCATAACTGACTGCTAGTACCTTTGCTCCCTCAAAGCCATTGCAGTGATAAGGTTTGAGAGGGATTTGCAACAGGTGCTGGCCAACTTTCTGGCCTGCTCCCGAAAAAGCCCCTCAGAGGATTTTCAACCACTAAATCCTCCAAGGGAAGGGTGGGGGGAAGCAAGCTCTGATGTCTGTCATCCAAGTCACTCCTTTGTCCGATGGTGAAGCCAAGTGAAGGCCTAGCTGTAATTTCACCCACGCCAGAATGCAAAAGCGGGACTGACCTGCATGGCTTTGATGCTCAAAGCTTTCTCTTTTTTTGCGGTGGCATCACTTTCAAGCTGTTTCGCAAGAGCAATAACACAACGCTAGCAGCAATCCAGGGAGAGCTTCTGTCTGCTGGCAGCTTGCCAGCTCCATCGATGGATGCCAAGGAAATAGCCATGGGAGAAAGACTGGTATGTTGGCTTGGACTTGTCCTGGAAGCATGTGGGTTTTTCAACATGGCTTTTCTGTCTTTTGTCAAGTTGGCAGAAGAGAATCCCACCTGCAGGTCTTAGCTGTGGCACCAAGGATTATTCTGTTTATTGACTTACACGCCTGCAGTTTCATTCTCTAGCTGAAATGGGCCACTTCCATTCTGCCGAACGGTTGGAATACTAGAGGTCATTGGGATAATCCATCCATTCTCCTGCTTCTTCATTGCCTAACCATGGAATGTGTTTTCACGGTGACCCAGCCTTCATTAATATTTGCCATGTCAGCCAACCAAAGCTTAGTGAAGCGGGGGAAATTCCCAGAAAGGCACCATGTGAATGCACCAAGAATCCTCACAAGCTGGAGATGAGGTGGGAAGGAAGGCGCCCTTCCCTTTCCATGCCCCTCCAATTCTGCAGCACCTAGGGCCCAACTCAGATATTGATCTCAGAGTACCTATATAAGCACTGGTCTTTTTAACGTCTGGCTCTTCTGAGCAATTAACTGTACCAGAGGATTTTTTTTTAATGGGAGGAAAGCAAAGGGGACTGTTGTTTTTATTTATTAATTTGCTGCATTCTAATTTATTTATGTGACTTGAGTAAGGAGACAATGAGGGAGGGAGAATCTCAATTTCTTTTTAAGTTATTTTTGTCATATTTTTGTAAATTTGGCAGAAATGCAATAAAACTATATTTCAACAAAAGGAATAAGTGGGGTAGGGTGGGGCTGACACCAACAGGTTCAGCATTTATTTACGCAAAGCCCTCACTGGTAACTTTTGCGGTACTCAAAAGATACACTGCAAAGTGATGGGGGGGAGCGGGGCTCATATCTGATGAAACGTATCAATTGTGGTTTATTCAACATATCGTTACATAAATTGTGGTTTAGTACAAGCGCGACTCAGTTTTGGCTGGTCCACAGAAAATGCTATGCCGAACTCAAGCCACATTATGGCTTGAAATTATGGCACATTATGGCGTGTGAAAGCAGCCACTGCCTTAAATTTTTACTTTTTTAGGCAAGTAGTAAGGCTGGAGGCTTTAAAAATAGTTTTCTATCTCCTGAAGTGTAATCTGATTGTATGTGTGTATAGTGTATGAGTGTGTGTGCGCGTGCACCTTTGAGTCAGTCTTGACTCCTGGCAACTGCCTGGACAAGGCCCTGCAGTTTTCCTGGCAAGGTTTTTCAGAAGCTGTTTGCCCTGGCCTCCTTCCTAGGGCTGAGAGAGAGGGACTGGCCCAAGGTCACCCAGCTGGCTTGGTGCCTAAAGAGGAACTAGAACTCCCCATCTCCCAGTTTTTAGCCTGGTGCCTTAACAACTACACCAAACTGGCTGTCTTAGAAGTATAATCATGTCTTGGTAGAGTCCTACTTTGCACCTGCTTAGAAGAGTCTTTGGTGACCCTGACCCAACTAAAAGCAGTCTGGCTTCCTATCTTGTGCTAAGCAAGGGATCCTCTCTAACTTTTTAGAGCACATTTTGAATATGGTACATGTTCTCACAAAATGACTTTGGGGAAGAGGCTGCTTACGCACAAAATAGGTGACATGAGGGATTTAAGTCATGCAAATGCAATTTGCCATCTTTTCTGCTGGAGCTGGCATTTTGCTATGCAGCAAGCCCATTGTGCATTACCTTAATTAAATGGTTTTTCAAAAATTGTCAGATGACCCATGGAACTGTATGGGCTCTAAGGAAGGTGTCAAGGTACACACTGGCAATCCTGGATGTCACCCCATGGATCATTTTGTTAAAATATGGCTTTGTTTAACCAGAGGTACCAGGTCTCAGCTGCAGAAATCTGGGCAGCCACTAATTTTTGCTATAATCTACTGGTCTTCTGTGTGTTTGCAGCCAGTAGCCCGAGCTATTACAGATTTGTCAAATCTTGGGAGCAACAGACAAAAAACTCTTCACCATTTTGATTATGTCCTATCAAAGTCTGTTGACTTTTAGCAACCACATAGACAAATCTTTTCCAGAATGTTCTGTCCTCAAACTGACCCTTCAGGTCTTCATTCATTCATTCATTTGGGTTCACTACATGTATAAACTCCATTCACATTTAACAGACATTTAGGTTTATCTGACCATGGTGGTTCATACATTTTGTTGAATCAAAACCAAACCACTCGTATTATGGTTTTTGGATCGTCCTACCAAATGGAAGCTAAAGAATAGTTACAAGGTGAAATTAATACACAACAATATAATAAGAAAGCAAAGTTACACACCGCCACACCCCCCCCCCAAAAACCTCTGAGGGTGTTCTTGCTCTCTGTAATTTGAAACTAGGATCTTGTTAGCTTTCCACTATGTACTCTTACAGTTAAAAGAACCAGCTATGAATTGGGCAGGCCATGGCTCCAATTCCATAGTCACATATTGCCAAGGTTCATATACCAGTTAGAATGTGTTGTTTTAATCATAGTGACAACCACAGTTGAGTGGGTTGGCAAAATACATCCAGAAGGGCACAGTCTGAGTTTCCAGGCCATATCCAACCCTTAAGATTCCAATCAAATGTAAATTAAATAAAAAATAGTTTTACTTCTATATTTAAAATTTAGAAACAGAGTACAGTCTCCAGTGGAGCAGTCTCCACTGAGACCAAGTGATGTTTCTTGGATTAGAAAGTATTGTACATACATAATTCGAAACCATCAATACAGTTCGCAGAATCTACCAATTCACACCATCATTTGACTTAGTGTAGTTTCAGCTAGGCCCATTAGGGATTTTCTCCCTAATCTGTATTTAAAGATGATGCTAGCTTATTACTTGGCAAATAAAACATTTGGATACTATTTTTTATTCACAGCAGTTTACAACAATTACAAAAACTATTACAGGGTGAAAAAAATCTATTAAAAGAATTAGGGAGTTTTGCCTGTTGAGAAAGGGCAAAAAAAGGATGCATTTTTAAATACACCTAAAATATAACAGTTGGGGTTCTGAAGAGTGCAGTGTGGGAGTTATTCCACAGGACTAGTGCTCACCCAGAGACTGGTCACATCCACACCAGCCTGTTTGAATAAGCAATTACAGTATCTTTAGCTCCAGTAATTCACCAAATCCATACACTCTTCAGAGGGCACTCTTCCTTTCTATGATTATCCCTAAACTACGTCAATCTGCTTTGGTGAAAAAAGACCATGGGTGTAGTCACACAGCCTGCTTACCAAAGGAGCCAAAGAATATTGGCAAAGTATCAATTCCACAGCAGCACCCCAGTTACTGAAACCACCAGTCACTATTTCTCTTGTCTGAGAAATCAGAATAATTTTCTTCATTTGTTATGTCCTCAACTGATTTTAGGACAGGAGACCCTAGAGAGAGGCTGCCAATTGGAAGAGGCGACTCTGACCCAACAGACAATCACCTGACTTAGGCTGAGGCTGCTCATGTTGCCTTAAGCTTAAAATGCTAAAGCATCACAGAATTAAGTTCTTCATTGCACAAAAGGGGGGTAGAGAACCTTTTTCCTTTCGAATTTGCATTCCCTCTGGGTAAACGGTTGCAGGCCATGTAACAAGATGGAGTGGTTGGGTCCAGAGCTTTTTAAAAAAGTGGAGACTAGAGGTGTGTAAAATTATTTTTAAGGTTAAAATGTTTTGACCTTAAAATATTCCAACCTCAGAATGAGTATTCTGCACCAACCTGTCTGTACCAACCTTACCAACAGTGTTCCAACTTCAAACCAGATTTAGGTCAATTTCAAAATTAACACTTCGAGGTTCTGACCTTGAAATGGTTTGCACACTTCTAACAGAGACACACATTCTCTGACACATGCTTCTCTCTCTTTCAAGCAGCAGGCTGCAAGAGAGAACACTGAGCCCTTACCAGGGATCTGATTTCTTGCATAAGGGGTTTGCAACTAATCTGAGAACTGCAGGCAGTCCTAGAAGTTGATGTTGCTGGCCACTGCCATAGAATTTCCAACAGAGTTTTTTTTTAAACAAATACTCATCAAAAGTGGTGAGAAATATCCTGCTTTATTCTACTCGAAAAGTTGCACAGAACTGGTCCATTCAAAGAGTGGTGCAAAAGAGATGCAGGGCAAGCCAAAGTGTTTTTTTTTTTTTGCTTGCAATCTACAGCCAATGTGGGGAGGGGGAGCCAGAGGGTGGAGGAGGAGGAGACAGGCCAAAGAAGGTAACATGATAACACAACATTTGCCAGCAAAATGGGTAGGATCTCTGCTAGAGACCATCAGCTGAAGAGGGACCACTGCAAACAACCTGACCCCCCACTGCCGCTGGGAAACAGAAAATGGTATGCAAGTAGGAACGCACCTGGAGAAGGATGGGTAAGAAATCAGCATCCCCCTTCCAAGTTCCTCCTGTTATAGAAACAAAAGTAACTCATGACACACCAGTAATTGTACAGTAATTGCGAGTTGGATACTCTCGATAATATGAACAGAGGAGAGGACACAACGGAGGGGGGGCTGTCAGCATGAACTGAGCTCCCTCTCGAGAGATCAGCTCATCTTGTAACAGAAAAGAAGGGATAGCCACAAAAGTGGGGTTTTTTTTTCATTTTTTAAAAAAAGCATTGATCACAGATTAAACATCATTACTTTCTGACTTGCTCTGACCATGAAAGCGCGCGCGCGCACGCATAAATAATACAAAAAAATGGAAGAAGAAACCTCCCCTCCCCACCCCTAAAATAAATACATTGGCTTCTGCAAAGTCAGAAATGGTAGAGGCTGCACAATGGAGGGCAGATGGAAGAGATGGGGAAGGCGGAGGGCTGATGGAAATGTGCGCGTGTGTATGTACATGTGCGTGTCTGTGTACACACTGAAAGACACACAGAAAAAAAAAAAAACCACACAGGAAGCGCCTGTAAATTTTAACACAGAAGACTGGAGAGAATTTTAAGTGTCCTCATTCATATCTTGGCTGTCTGTCCGGGCAATTTTGCGAGGTGGGGCCGAGTTTTCACCTTCTATTTCCACTTGCTCAGGATCTCTTTTCTTTGCTGCATTCTAATAGGAGGGAAAAAGGCAAGAAAAATTAGATTTGCTTGACTCCCTCTCACTCCCAGCCCCCAAATCTTTTCTCAAGGTTTTTGAAGCCGGATTCCTTCCCAAAGCAAGGGTGGGATCATGCTGTCACTTTTGCTTCCACTAGACAAGCAAACTAGCAAAAAGTGGTATGCCGGAAGCTGCTTATTTCCTATCCCAGTGAGATTCCACTAGAGTTAGGGAACTAGAAATTGTTTTTAACCTCCTCACCTCCATACACTGTTTTTTAACAGACACACCCTAAGATTGGTAGTTGACAAGAGTTTTCACAAAACCCATACCTTTTTGTCCCACTGCTGATGTAGGTAACGCAAGAGAATATTTGTCTTTTCTGTGACAATTACTGTTGAAGAAAGACAAGGAAAACTGATCAGTATAGAATGAAACAAATCTACAAGAAGGCATTGCAGGGTTCTGGATTTTACTGACTGCAGGATTATGGGAGATGGCGGTCACCTGCTTAGAGAAGAATGTTTTATTCAGTGGAACCAAGTGCAGAGAGAGGTGGTCACTCAGCAGGATTGCTCACATTTCACATGCAGAAAGGCACAAGTTTGATCCCTGGAGACTATCTCTGGCCAAAGGAAGGGAAGAAAATTATTTCTACTACTCAAGATCTTATGGAAGCCCCATCATAGTGGAGGAGAACAAACTGACCTCACTCTTGTGGGCATATAACTTGATCTTGATCTATCTGCAGGGCTGATCACACAGAGAGCAATCAAAAGAAAATCCAGAATGGTAAAGATCTCTTGACTGCTATGTCATACAAGTTAGTTACTGCTTTATTCTGGCCATAGGAACAACCGGTCCCATCAGGAGTAGAAAGCCTTCTATAAAGCTCACCCCTTGCCACACAAAGACTAAATAACGAAAATAATAAAACCACTGTTCTATCAGGAAGAGCAGGCCCTCAGCTAGAATCTCCTAGGATAAGGCATGGAAACGCTGCTCTAATTCTTATATTTCTCCTCCCTCTGCTTTCCTCTTTTATATTATGCCTATTAAACACGAGCCTGCCTGTAGCCTTTTATCTTTTCATACCTTTACAGCATGTAAAAAAGTCAGCATTTTTCTATCCGTGTAATCAACAGCAGCATATGATCCTAGAGAGCCAGTTTGGTATAGTGGTTAAGGTGCTGGCCTAGAAACCAGGAGTTTAGTCCTCTCCTAGGCATGAAAGCCGTCTGGGTGACTTTGGGCCAGTCATTCTCTCTCAGTTCAGCCCACCTTGCAGGGAGGTTCTTGTGGGGAAAACTGGAGGCAGCAGCATTACATACACCACCTTGAGTTGTACAAAAAAAATGGCAGGATATAAATCCTAGTTTAAACCAAAGCTCCCTCTAGTCTCGCATTTTGTTTCTTATCAACCAGGGGTCTAGGCGAGAAACTCATATACAAAGGCATACAAGAAACGTCTTGCCTATTGTTTGTCCCCAACATCTGGCACATCAGAATACCATAACATGCAGACTTCTTGACATGCAGAGGGAAAAAAGCTTCAAAACAATTCAGACAAGGACATTTACACCACAACTCGGTATACAAGGCAGGGGAGAATCAGATGACTAAGAATCCTGAGCTGCTGCCTGCTACATACTCCCCTGGATCACTGCCTTCTTCTCTCACTCGAGCTACATTTTCCTAGGCAAGGTTTGCTTAAGCCTAGCTTAGTGGTACCATGCTTTCCTACTTTTTGCTCCAAGTGTTGTTCCCTCTTAGCTTTAGCAGATTAGGCCTACAGGGCATTAAGGCACAACATTTATAGATGACAATGCATGAGCACATTTCATTCATGAACTGGCTTCCAAGCTAGAGAGCTCTGATAATCCAATTTTGGAGAGCTGTTTCAGATGGATTTTATTTCTCTAGCTCCTACCTTCTCAACAGAGCCTGGAAAGGAATTCTTGCCCCCTCTGTCATTTTGGCTAATGGACTGACACTGGGCACTAGAAAGAAAAAGATTGTTCCTTCTTTTAGATACTGTGGGGTCATTTCCAGTGAACAATCTCATGCAACCTTCCTGGGCTGGCTAGGAATTCTAGGAGTTGTAACCCCAACACACCTTCAGGGCATCCAGTGCTAAGGAAAGCTGATCTAAAGCCTATTACCTGTTGGAGTTTGCCAAGAGTTGCTGGATCTGGCTGGCCTGTTTGGTCCAGAAAGACATATGTCACCAGTCCAAGTGTACCAGAAGTGGTCCAACCTCAAAACTGACCATTCTAACTTCATTCTGAAGTTGGAGCATGTGTATTAGAAATGGCTTCAAGGTTGGAATGCTTTGACTGCAAAGTATGTTGCCTACCTCTGTCACCCCCCTCCACCCTCCAGGAGAGTGACAGGTAATATGGCTTCTACTCCCACCGGAGCCCTGATCTTAGGATGATATGATGGGATGTTGCTCTCAAGAGTCCTCTTCTGTATTATAGATGCAATCTGCTCCCTGGTTTACCAGATAATAGGTTGCAAAAAAGGGCAGGAGAACAGTTAGAACAGAGATAGCATAATGCTCACTCTGAATACAACTCAAGACATGTAACAGCACATTTATGATTATGGCTTCAAAACAGCACTTTCTGCCTCCATTGCATAAAGCAGTTGCCCAGCGGATCTTGAAAAATAGACTCCTACAGTCAAATTGGAACTGGAAGGTGGCCAAAGTTTACAAGGCATTTTGTGGATAAAAAAGCACTATGATCCTCACACTGTATTTGCTACATGGCTTGTGGAAATGTCCAGACCACCCTCTGGTCCAATTATATAAGGCCTTTGTAGAGGCATACAGAGATAGTCTTGAAGAAAGTATGTGGCAGCTATTAGAAAAATATAAGCTTACCCCAGAAAGACAGGAGGGGTGAGAGAGAAATTCAAGATTGGCTCACCCTGACTCTCTTGGGTATAAGAGGGAAGGAAGGAGAAACAATTTCAAAATTCTGTTATGTGTCTATGTGTGTGATTCAGTCTTGATTCCTAGCGACTGCCTGGACAAGTCCCTGCAATTTTCTTGGCAAGATTTCAGAAGTGGTTTGCCATTGCCTCCTTCCTAGGGCTGAGAGAGGATGAATGGCCCAAGGTCACCCAGTGGAATTTGTGCCTAAGGTGAGACTAGAATTCATGGTGTCCTGATTTCTACCTTGGTGCCTTAACCACTAGACCAAACTGACTCTTCTGTTATTATAGCCTATATCAATAGAGTTCAGATACACACATACACACACACACACACACACACGAGTTTCTTGTGGTATCTATTTCCTGGCCTGGTCTACTTTGAAGGGCTAACAGCCATTTTCAGTTGCTGTCTCACGTTGTGGACAAAAGCCTGAAGGAGTATAATCACTGTCTATGAGCGGAAAGATCCAAGAGGTGGTGGTGGTGTTCAGTCGTTAAGTCGTGTCCGACTCTTCGTGACCCCATGAACCATATTGCGCCAGGCCTTCCTGTCCTTCACTGCCTCCCGGAGTTTGCTCCATTTCATGCTCATTGCTTCAGTGATGAACCATCTCATCCTCTGCTGTCCCCTTCTCCTTTTGCCTTCAATCTTTCCCAGCATCAGGGTCTTTTCCAAGGAGCCCTCTCTTTGCATTAGGTGACCAAAGTATCTGAGCTTGAGCTTGAGTATCAATCCTTCCAATGCGCAATCAGGGTTGATTTCCTTTAAGATTGACTGGTTTGACCTC